CACTCTCTCTCTCTCTCTCTCTCACTCACTCTCACTCTCACTCACTCACTCACTCACTCACTCACTCACTCACTGTCTCACTCACTCACTCACTCACTCACTCACTCACTCACTCACTCACTCACTGTTACCTAGGCAATGGAGACCCTTATAGAATAGGGTAGTCCTGCCCCTCTTTACAGTAAGGTCCCTAGGGAGTCAGGATCAAATCAACAGCAGTAGGTTTGGGCTTTTATTTCTTTGCTTTCTGTTTAGTTTTTAGTTTTAAACAAATGGGGACAGAAGGCACCACATAGTAATAAAAGATTTGGAGTATTCTTGAAGTATTAGGAGCTGATGAGCCACGTTGATCCTGGGTCCTGCATACAGTAGTTGAGTGTTGTAATCAAGGATTAATAGGATTTTTATTTGATAGGATGGCTTTAATGGCTGGTTAATTTATTATCCATTATCGGGATTCAGCTACGAATTAACAATATTACTTCCCATCTTTCTGCTATCATGTTTTTCAGCTTCAACCCCAATCTGGCAGAATAACAAAACTTGAGTGTGCTTTCCATTCCACTTTTACTATTCCCAGTTTCACAAAATGAGAGTAGATCATTGTAGTTATTAACTAAAATAAAATTATTGGGGCTATGTTGTTTTGGTATTTTATGTTGGCCAACTCAACCTATACCTTAATGCTCCTTTTCACTACAGATTGTCAGAGTTTGCATTTCTTGCATTGTTATTGTTTTAGAAATGGAGCTTAAAAAAAACCTTTCTTAAAAATCCTGCCTTATTTTTATTGTTCTGTCTCTATTGCCCAGTGAATGAATCTCAGATTTGGGGCTGTGAAATTCACTATAAAAAAAGTGGGTTAAGGGAGACATTGGTCAGTGTAAGACATGAAAAAAAATTATACATTATCAAGGGTTTGTGAGGGAGGGAGGGAGGGAGAAGGGGAAGGAGGGGGCAAAATGAGGAGTTGGTACCAAGGGCTCAAGTAGAAAGAAAATGTTTCGAAAATGATGATGGCAACAAATGTACAAATGTGCGTTACACAATTGATGGATATATGGCTTTTGATAAGAGTTGTATGCGCCCCCAAGAAAAGGATTAAAAAATAAATAAAGCTCTTTATTACACATAAATAAATAATTATTATGTTGTGACACACTAAACACAGTAACTGACAAATAATACTTACTATATGCAGTGCACTCACTTTTATATTTTTTTCTTTTATTACCTTTTAAAAGAGTTCTATTGGGACATGATTCACATATCATGCAATTCAATAGTTCAATCATATCAAGAAGTCATACAATCATTACCACAATTAATTTCAAAACATTTTCTTCTTTCTTGTACTCATTATTATTAGCTCCCTATTTCCCTTGAAACCTCCCCACCATGCCCCCAAGAAACCATTAATTCAGTTATTTCCCCTATAGATGTACTTATCCTGGAGTTTATGTACAGAAACATAACCCCCACCCCCCCCCCCCAAAAAAAAAAACCCTAAAGACTAAATGTAGTGCTCACAGCCCACAAGTGTTTTGTCATTTTCAGTCTGAAAACCACTGACTTTATGCTTTGGGAAGGTTTTTTAAAATGCACATTCTGCTGGTTCTATCTAGGAATTGCTTCTGGGTGTCTTTGGTGGAACCCTGGAAGGTATGTAATGTAGCATGCTATATGAAGCACTTGGCACAGCACCAGATGTGCAGATGTTCATTAAATAGTAGTTTACTTCTTGGGAAACATTTTTTATCCTTAGAGATAGAATTGTCTCCTCTGTGTGTGGTATGCCCAAGGTTAGGATGAAGGAACCCTGGTGGTGTAGTGGGTTATGACTTGGACTCTTTATCTCAAGGTCAGCAATTTGAACTCACCAACTGCTCTGCGGGAGAAAGAACTTTTTGCTCTCATAAAGAGTTACAGCCTCAGAAACCCACTGGGATGAGAATACTCTGTCCTTTCGGGTTGCTGTGAGTCAGAATGGAATTCCTGACTGAGTTTGACTTTGGTTTTAGAGGAAGTGTGGATTTGACTCTCTAGCTTTCTTTGGGATAGAGCAGCCATGAAAAAGCAGTGATCTACTGTGATGCCTTATACACGTGAATTATTTGGAAAGTATTTCTTAATTTTACTAATAAATATAGATGTTTTCAAAATGATATACTTTAAAATATGAGTCATAGCAGGTTCTAGAAGATTCAACTGCCATGATAACACTCACACTGATTAGCCTTCTTTTCCAAAGCGTGTATGAGAGTATATTATTTTGTAATTTACATTTTTTTTGTAAAGGAACCAATTCTGTTGACAGGAAGTATCAAAGCTATAATTGGTCTATATTAGCATGTCTATCTTTTCAGAGCACATATATTCTATTTTCTTTCATTCTAAAATATTAAATAATCCCTATTTTGAAAATTATGAATACTCCAACCAGAAATGTTCAGAGGATATTATACACCATTGTCTGTGTATTCACCAAAGATTTACGGCTTATTACCATTTTTCCATATTTTCTTAAAAGACACAATTTTTTAAAGAACTAAAATATTTTATGTTGTTCTTTGTGCCCCTTTCCAATCTTTATTCCTTCCTATCATAGATATAAACACTCTCTGAAGTTGGTATATATCTTTCCAATCTGTGCTTATGTGAATACTCAAATGTAGGTGGCCACATATTATCTATTATAGATATTATTTTATGTATTTAACAGTTGCACAAATGGTATATGATCCTTATTCTTCTGCAATTATTGGCCAATATTGTTTTTAACATTTACCCATATTGAAAAATACAAAGTTCATTTAAAAAACATTTCCCCATTGTTTGCAACTCATGGTGATACTACATGTACTTAGTAGAGCTGTTCCATAGGGTTGTCAGGGCTGAGATTTCTCAGAAACAGATTGCCAGATCTGTCTTCTAAGGCCTCTCTGGGTGAGTTCGAATCACCAATCTCATGGCTAATTGTCCCGCGATCAACCAGTTACATTTTACTACCCACAGACATTTTACTGTAGTCCTAGAAAGCCATATATACTGATATATCTTAATATCTGTGGCAATTGAAGTTAAGATCATCTATATTTTGATGTTTAGTTATTTCCATTTAAAAATTATTTTTAGTATGAAAGTAATGCATGGTCACTGTAAAAAATAAGTCAAAAATAATAAAAAACAAAAATCAATCAATAAATAATAAGTCAAACAATACCTAAATATATAAAGTATAAAAAGAAAATTATGAGCAAATGATCTTTCAGGTCCCCTTCCCCTTACTTGACCTGCCAATCAGATATTAATCAATCTCTTCACTGAAACAGGGAGGAACTGATATAGGAGCTGGTATATTGTAAATAAAATAAGAGCCCTAATTCTAGCTCCAGTTGAAGAACAATTAGTTCTTATAACATGGCCTTGCTTTTAACTCGCCTTCATGAAGAAATCACTGAAGATAAGGGTGCTACAGCTATGTGTGGCAAAGAATGCAAATGGTGCCCAGCTATCAATTGGAATTGTGTCTGGGGTCTTAAAGGCTTATATTCAAACAAGCAGCCATCTAAGCCAGCGGTTCTCAACCTGTGGGTCGCGACCCCTTTGGGGGTCAAACAACCCTTTCACAGGGGTCCCCCGATTCATAACAGTAGCAAAATTATTGTTATGAAGTAGCAACGAAAATAATTTTATGCTTGGGCGGCACCACAACATGAGAAACCTGTACTGAAGTGTTGCTGCGTTAGGAAAGTTGAGAACCACTGATCTAAGCACACCAGCGAGTGATCC